TCTATTACTCCCCCTCAAGAGGTGCGTATAATTCCTTGACGCACATCTTGGAAAGCTGTGATGACAAGGTGGAAGGAGGTATAGGCTTTGTAAAGAGATCGGCCTACTGATGTTTGGAACGAATTGGTAAAAGCTTGATCAATCCCGCAGATAATTTGTCACGAACAAAGTGGCAATCAACTTCGATATGCTTTGTCCTCTCGTGGAAGACGGGATTAGAGGCAATTTGAATGGCAGCCTGGTTATCGCAATAAAGAGCAGCAGGAGCCGAACAAGAAATCTGAAAATCACCTAGCAACTGGGTAAGCCAAACGATTTCACTGACAGTTGAAGCAAGAGCCCTATATTCGGCTTCAGCTGAAGAACGAGAGATGGTAGACTGTTTCTTAGATTTCCATGAAACCAAAGAATCCCCAACAAATATACAGAATCCAGTAGTGGACTTTCGAGTGTCAATACATGACCCCCAATCAGCATCCGAAAAAGCTTTGATGGAAATGGAGGTAGTTGACATCACCAATGAAGGGAAAAAGAGACTTTGACCAGGATGACCCTTTAAAAATCGTAGTAGATGATGAACTGCCTTCAGATGGGGCACCCGTGGCTGAGAAACGTATTGACTTAGTTTATGCACAGCAAAAGTGATGTCAGGACGAGTTAAAGTCAAGTAGAGAAGCTTTCCAATCAATCGCCTATAATGAGAAGCATCAGGGAGGAGATCTCCTTCAAGTTGACTGATAGCTATCTTAGGATCCATAGGACTATTAACTGGCTTGCAATCCATGTAATTAGCATCCTCAAGTAACTGCAGAGTGTATTGTCTCTGTGAGATCACAATTCCAGATGAAGACCTGGCCACCTCAATTCCCAGAAAATATTTCAAAACTCCCAGATCCTTGAGCTTGAACTGAGAACTAAAAAAGGACTTCAAAGAATTTATCACATTAATGTTTGGTCCAGTAATAACAATGTCGTCGACATATACCAATAAGGCAATAAAGTTCTGTCCAGAACCTTTTAAGAAAAGTGAGTAATCTGATTTTGACTGAGTAAAACCATTTTGTATAAGGGAGTGAGTAAATTTTGAGTTCCACTGCCTGGAGGCTTGTTTCAGGCCATAAATAGACTTATGCAGCTTACAAGCCAGTTTCTCCCCCTGATTGGATGTCCTGATCAAATTATAACCAAGTGGAAGCTCCATATATACCTCTTCAAACAAGTCCCCATTCAAAAAAGCGTTATTCACATCTAATTGCATTAAATGCCAACCAAAATGTGCTGCAAGTGTGAGCAAAAGTTTGACAGTGACTGCCTTTGCTACTGGTGAGAAAGTATCAAAATAATCGAGCCCCTCCTGTTGGGTATAACCCTTTGCAACAAGCCTGGCTTTACGTTCAAGTGAACCATCAGACTTGAACTTGTTTTTATAGATCCACCTGCAACCAACAGTATGCTTCCCAGGTGGCAACTTTACAACAGACCAAGTCTTATTCTCCTCCATTGCATTTAATTCAAGTTTCATGGCGTCACGCCAATGGGGAAACCTGACTGCCTGATGAAAAAATTGAGGTTCAAAATGTGAAGAGACAGATAAGGCAAACTGTTTGTGAGAGCTGGAAAGGTTTTTATAGGAGATGAAATTGCCAATGTGATAAGGAGAAGGAGGCATAATGGATTTATGATGAGACAGTAGATTACAATGGTAATCATGCAGATATTTTGGAGGTCGAAAAGATCTGGTAGATTTGCGAACTTCGATATTGGATGTGCTGACAGAGTGGGAGGCAGTTGGAGAATCAGGAATGTGTGATGCAGAAGAAGGAGAGGAAATGACAGCATCAGGAGTTGTTGATTGCTGAAAGTGAGGAACAAGCTGGTTATTGAGAGGTCGATCAACAGACTCAAGAGATGTGTGTAGATTGGGAGAAGGTAATACCAAATCTGGAAAGGGATCAATCACTTCATCAGATTGAACTATGGTATGAAAAGGAAAGGTTTCTTCATGAAACACAACATCTCTGGAGATAAAAATTTTCTTGGAGCCAACATCAAGCATTTTAAAACCTTTAACTCCTGAAGGATATCCTAGGAACACACAAACTCTGGCACGAGGTTGAAACTTGTTCCTATGTGCAGTCAAAGTCGAAGCAAAACTCAGACAACCAAAAACACGAAGAAATGAATAATCTGCAGCCTTGCCAAATAAAACTTCATATGGAGTTTTATGCTTTAAAACAGGGGAGGGTGTTCTATTGATGAGATAAGCAGCTGTCAACACGCATTCAGACCAGTAATGAATAGGAATCCGAGACTGAAAAAATAAGGCTCTAGCAACATTCAATAAATGTTGGTGTTTCCGTTCAACAACTGAATTTTGCTGAGGTCTCTCCACACAACTAAACTGATGCACAACCCCTTTTTCTCCAAAAAATTGTTTACAAGCCAGCTCTTGTGCATTATCTGATCTAAAACATTTAATCTTAGCATCAAATTGTGTCTAAGCCATGTGAAAGAAACGAACTATTGCTGCCTCTGCATCAGACTTTTGATGCAACAAGTAAATCCAGGTGAATCTGGAGCAGTCATCCACTAAAGTCAGAAAATATTTATGTCCAGTGTGTGCTGCTGTATGATATGGGCCCCATATATCGCAATGCAATAACTCAAAAGGCCTATCTGACAACTTGTTGTGAGATTCAAAAGACAACCTTCGTTGTTTAGCTATTGGACAAATATAACAAGGTAAATGTTTATTCATTTCTGAAGTGTTACAGGAGACGCGATCTTTCAAAATGTCTAACCGTTTAAAGGATAAATGCCCAAGTCTATTGTGCCAAATACGGGCAGACACATGTCCAACAAAATTATGTGAAACAAACTCAAAATTTCTAGTGTCCAGAACATATAATCCTTGAACATTATTACCCCTGCCAATCATCTTCATGGTGGTACTCTCCTGTATCTGAAACTGGCCCTGAGAGAAGTGTAATTTAAGTTGAGAATCAACAGTCAAAGCACTAACGGACAGCAAATTGAACTTGAACTGAGGCACATATAAGACGTCATATAAAACCAGATTAGGACTTAGCTTGATTTCACCACATAAACTGACAATAATTTTTGAGTGATTTGGCAAAGTGATGCTAGCATTTTCAACTGATCTCATGTTCATAAATGCCTCAGCATTACAACATACGTGTTTGGTAGCTCCTGTGTCTACTATCCAAACTTCCTTAGTGGCAAAGATAGGATCAACAGATATGGAATAACAAATACCTGTGGTTCCTGTGTTCTGCTGTTTATCCACTCCAGCTGAAATAGTAGTTGAATGTGGTTCCAGATGGTTTGATAGCATATTCATTAGCTGGTGATATTGATTTGGGTTCAGGTTTTGGATAAAATCCCCCACATTAGTCTGATCCTCATGTTGACTAGTGGAGAACTGATTGACATGATTGTTGGTATGATAACTTCGAACATTTTCTCTAGGTCTCGGTTTGAATCCTGGGGGGTATCCATGAATCTTGTAACACTTATCAACAGCATGTCCATGATACTTACAATGTGTACAATACGGCTTATCCTTTCTCCTGAAGTTTGATGTATTTCCAAATCTAGATCCTTCATTTCCAAATCTAGATCCCTCATTTCTAGAACTATGATTCAATACTGATTTTACATCAGACCTAATAGAGAAAGCAGCAGTTGCACCAGCAAACAAATTATCAGTTCCTAATGTCTGCGTGCTCAATTTTCTCTGGTTTTCCTCTTGCAACATGAGGGCAAAAACCTTGTTAACAGGTGGTATTAGATCTATCAGTAAGATTTGTCCCCTTGCCTGAGAAAATGTTTCATTCAATCCCATAAGGAAAGACATGATATACTCTAGTTGATGATATTTGTTCATTTCCTGAACACCCCCACATGTACATTTTCCACAATTACAATTCGGCCTAAAATTGATTAATTCCTCCCATACAGCCTTTAGTTTTGTGAAGTAAACACTGATAGAATTCTGACCTTGAGTCAAATTTATCAGATCCTTTCTTAGTGAAAAAATTCGCGGTCCGTTACTTTGTTGAAATCTCTCCTTGAGGTCATTCCAAATCTCATGAGCCATGGATGCATAAATGATACTAGCTGAGATCTCCTTTGAGACCGAGTTCAATATCCAAGACATAACAATGTTATTGTTTCTAATCCACGAATTAATCAATTCTGGATTCGAATCATCTGGTTTCTGCATAGATCCATCAATGAAGGCAACCTTATTTTTCACTGAAAGAGCAATTTCCATAGCTCGACTCCATGAAGGATAATTTTCCCCAGTAAGAAGCTGCGACACCAATACCAATCCAGGATTATCTGAATGGTGAAGATAAAAGGGGCTTGATGGTTCATCGATAGCCGATTTCCTCAGGTACGAATTCAGATCTGTGTTGATCTGATTCTCAGCTGAATCCATATCAGCAGAATAGAAGGCAG